AAATGTCGCTTTTTTGGAGCGAGATGTCCGCTGATTAGAACGTACATGCCGGCAGAGATGAGATCAGGAGATATCTTTGATGTGGGTAGTGGAAAATCGTGTTTGAACAACTTTGTTGAATATGTGCCAATTGCATGGATAGTGGCAGCCTAGTTTTCTAGTTTCGTAAAATTACTTTATCGGTTATAATGCATGGGGTTTCTTCGTAAGGTTGAGAAGGGACAAATTCTAATAACAGTCCGGATCGTTTGTTCGCGGTTGTGTCCTATAGTTTGGAATATATAACGGTGCCGCAAGACAGAGCTGGCGTGTGGACCTAATTAAGGGAGATTTAATGGAACTATCGGGATTTGTGGTATTTTACAAGATAGTTCGCGTTACAGACCTCAGGCTTCAGCGCCCTGACGGCACTATCGCTACAGATCCGCAAATGCTTGTTTGGCAGACCCGGTAGATTGTAAACATCCTTCACAGAGGGCATTCCACTACCCACCATTCGTGAACACATCGGGTCGCTAAGAACCAGGCTGCCATGCAGACCCGACCTCCCACCCACAAATAAACCTCCTCGTTTAAAACGCCTGACTCGAGAACATTTTGTCAAAAAAGGATAACGCAAAAAAACCAAGGCTCTGGGTCTCAAAAATGGCCCTGCTCTGTAGTCCATATCGAAGGGCAAGAAACTCGTCATCATCGCAGTCAAGCCGGCTCCTGTGTGAATGTAAAAGCAGACTAAATATCGATACCGCGGCATAAAACTCCGCTGTCTATTAACAATTGGCAATTTGGTGCTGTGGTGTTTGAGCCTGTCCACTTTGAATCCTCACGATGGATAAGGGAGTTAGGTGTGTCGGCAAAAATCCTCGCCATTATCGAGGTCCACTACGGTTCAATAAATACGCGGGTGCTGGTCTGTAATTACGGTTTCCAACCGTTTGATATCCAGCCGGACGTTTAGTAAGGTCCTATACAGTCGTTCATCTTTTCTAACTACCTTATCAACAATTCCTCGAAAAGGCTGTGTGGCGCTGAAGCCGCTTAGGTCATCTTTCGTGGATAACCTTATAGTGCAAAAGCATGCGAAAGCTGAAGATGCGTAGTAAACCTTGAATGATAACAATGTATCGGGTGACGTGCACCGAATGAAACGATCCGCACTTGCCGCGACAATACTATAAGAACATATTCAGACTAAATAAAATAGTGAGGTGGTCGCGGTACGAGGTCTGAAGGAGATTGGATCAAGCTCTCCAGGTCTGTTGTCGTATATCTTCACGTGAAACGATGCATAACCCGTGATATCAGCGAGATCGGCTAGATCCAACATGAACACGAGCCTGCCATGAACGAGCACCGGGTAGTGCAAGGGTAGCAAAATAGCACGAAAGATTTAACCATTAAAAGCGGAGAAGACCGTCAAAGCTATCTAAAACTCCAGTTAGCTAGGTCTTCATTTGAAAACCCCTCCTGTGTGAAAAATTTTGGAAAAATCTAGAGAAGATTTAGACATAAAGAACTTTAAAGAATTTGTATTAATTCCAGCTGTTTTTTGTTGCGCAATTTGCAGGCCAGAAGAGTCGGTGGCCAGACGTCCTCATGGCAGAGAATTCGGTCGATACCATGACAGAATCAGCCTACGCTCTACAAGACTAGATTTCACACTATTAACGGATAAAGGATGCCATGAGATGAATCTAAGGCAGGATCAAACTAAGGAGAATAGTACAAATTTAAGGCCATTTTATCTATGCCCTGATTAACTAAGCCGTGCGTCCGAGGCCACCGAGTGGATCAAATGATTCATTCAAATCTGTCAAGACACTCTACCAAAGCCGTATTTGCTAAATATTTGAAATGTGCAGTAACAAAGGTTGGCAATCATGGTTGTTTATCAATCCTAGTATGTTTTTAGTTGATCACGATACGAAGACAGAACCAGATAGAAGACCAACGTAAGTACCCCATCAAACCAGTTGGTTGGTAGTGCGAATGTGTCCAAAATTCACGTGAAAAAAACCGTCGACAAGCGCCTTCAGTTGGTCAGAATAACTCTTCACTTTCGTCACTATTCTACGAACTCTGTAACTACAGCATATACGTCTTTCTGTTGCTTCTTGGACGTTATTGTACTGGACTGCATAGCCAGCCGCACAATCATACATCGCTAGAGTTTCTTATATTATTAGAACTTATAGTAGACCCTCCAAACATAAAAAATAAACTTTTTGATGTAAGCAAAATAAAATTGAGACAATAAGGGCAACGGAACGCTGAGAGGTCATATCAGAAACGTTTTTGTTACTCAGGCATGCTTTGCCGAGTAACCGAATAGTACATAAAAGGATAAGAAAAGTTTTCATAAGAAAGTGGCACGAGCGATTTCTTACCTCCCACTCTGTACATATTATTAGAAGTCATTATTTCGCGGCTCATTTATTCAATGAAAGACATGTTTTATTAAACGGCGAGCACCACACCAAAAGCACACTCCGATTGGCAAATTGCAGCTAGTTTAAAATATACCCAGGTTGTTTAAAGCACACCCAGAGTAACACACTCGGTTAGCGTCGAGAGCCCCAAATTATCCGAGAACCACAAACATTAAAACTTCTAACTACCTTGATACTTAAATCTGCAGGGATCACACTAATGGAAGAAAAATAAATGTTCAGTTAAAATACAGAAAGGGATTTATCCCGATAGCCTGCACCCTATCAGTTCCTTTACCCATCCTCTACCACCCAAACCTGCAAACTTCT